TGATGAAGAAGACGACTCGTGGTTTTATATTGCGTTTTGCGACGGAATTTTCCGTCGCAATCCGTCACAAAATGAAATTAATTTACGCGCCCAAAATTCAAAATATTTCGTCGAAAAACGAAACCAAATACATTGCGACGGAATATTCCGTCGCAATCCGTCGCAATTTTTATTTTCCGTCGCAAATCATCTATTTCTTTGTTGTGACAGAATTATCCGTCGCAAACCGTAGCAAATTGCGACGGATTTTGCAACTGTTTGCGACAGATAATTTTTTTTCACATTCTGTCGTAAAATCGTCACATTCCGTCGCAATTTTCTGTGCGACGGAAATTTCCGTCGCAAATTCCGTCGCTATATGCAGGTTTTTTTGTAGTGTGTGTAAGTGAATGTGTATGTATGTGTGAATGTGTATGTGTGTGTGTTTATGTATGTGTATGTGTATATATGTGAATGTGAATATGTATGTGTATGTATATGTGATTGTATGTGTATATGAATATATGTGTATATGTGTGTGTTTATATGTGTATGTGTTTGTGAAATATATATGTGTATGTGTATATATGTATATGTGTATGAGTATTTATGTATGTATATATGTGTGTATATGTGTATATGTGTGAATGTGTATGTGTGTTTGTGTATATATGAGTATTTGTATATGAAAATATATGTGTATATATATGTATGTATGTGTATGTGAAATATATATGTGTATGTATATTTGTATGTGTGTAATGTATGTGTATATAGGTGTATGTGTATGTGAAAATGTATATATGTATGTGTATATATAGTATATAATTTTTTTTTATATTTTTAAAATTTTTTAAAACATTTGCAACGGAAAAAATTCCGTCGCAAATTGCGACGAAATTATCCGTCACTTTCCGTCGCAAAACGCAGATTTTTTCCGTCGCAAAAGTGCGACAGATTAACGACCGTTATACGTTTGCGACAGCGCTATAGCGACGGAAATAAGTCTGTCGCATTCCGTCGCAAATTCTTAATTGCGATGGATTT